CTTTGGCCAGTGAAACATGAAATTTATCACATCTGAACAGAAATCTGTTTATGGTTGACATGTTTTCTTTCTGCTCTGCCTTGATGACAGGAAAATGTTTTAAAGAGAGATTGCTGCATTGACTGGGGTCCTTGAAAAAACACAATAAAGAATAAACCCATGGCTAAAACACTGTGGTCATGCAGAGTAAATGAAAGTAAATCTTCATCATAAGCCACTGATATTTATAGTTGTTTGATATAGCTACATAGCATAGCTTATTCTGACTGAATGCAAGATGGCAAAAGAGGGCTCTACTTTCCCAAACAGAGTGTGTAGTGGAAAGTAGTTGTATACAAATCCTGGCTCCACTTTTTAAAGCATATTTGGTCTTGAGAAAATCACTTGATTCTGTGAGCTTCAGATTTTGCAGCTGGTAAAATTTATAATCATAAATACCTTAGTGGTCCTAGAAAAAATTAATTTCACTTTCAGCTACAATTATAATTATTTTAATATGTAGTTATGCACTCATATTAGCTGGAAAAAATTTTATACATGTCAATTACATGTGCCAGTTCAGAGAGAAAATAGAAGATTCTTGCTTCCTTATTCACATTCTCTGTCCCCTGTAATTAATGAAAGGTATGACATTGTATTGAAAAATTCTGGCTATTATTTGCAAAAGTGTCATGACTATGACATCACACGATTTATTGGATTTTCACAATAGAATCTTAGGAAAAGGGATAGAAAGGCTGATTGAATTTAGTTACAGTGACAACCCCATTGGCACCTAGCAATATTATGTGCAATGGCAATAAAGTAGAAACAGGACAACGCAAAACAGAATTCTGTAAACAAAACTCTCTCCTTGAAAAGGAGAAATATACTCTCTTATCAAACAACGATAGTAATCTAGCTGCTAATTTGAGAATGGTTTTTTTGATATATGTGATTTCAGTTCAAATTTTCTTCAGGAATATTTTTGTTTGGTCTTTTTATGGCATTTGACATGAAAAGTATGTGAAAACAGGTGCCATTGATATCCAGATAGGAAACATACATGAAAAAAGAAAAACAGTATGGTAAATTGGAGAACTGAAGCACCGGCGCAATGGGATGCTGGCTATTTAGTTCCAATTGTTTCTTGTGCCATTATTCTAGAATGAATAAATAATGATCTAGTCTCACTATATACTTCTGAGTTTTCGAAAGCAATAAAAATATGTATATTTATATGGAATATTCTTATTTTAAATATTGTCAAATATTTAAATCTTTGATAAGATATATTTCAGTCATATATAGAATAAACAAAGCACTACAGTCTTCAAATGCACAATTTCTAATTGTGAATTTATAGATTTATAATTACCAGTTAATTGAATTATATGGAAATATTTAATACTAAATATTTAATTATATGGAAATATTTAATACTAATTGGATTATATGGAAATATTTAATATTTGTTGATATTCGCTTAAAAGGTAGAGCTTTAATATCACTTTCTAGTATACAGCAAATCCATTATTTACACTTTGCAAGTAGAATAAATATTAAAATATTTCCCATTGCATGATAAGCTATTTTTTTTCTGGTTTCTTCTTCACCTTCTGATCTTATCATGTATCAGTCTTCTACATCCATATTTACTTTCTTTCCATTCCTTAAAACCATCAAATTTTTCTTCTAGGGGCTTTGCCAAATTTTTCTAGTGGAGAACTGTCTCTCAGGGCTTAAAGTGACTGATCACTGTTCATTATTTAGGTTCCAACTATTTAAGAATGACTTACCTGATCACTGTATCTAAATAAGCACTGTTACATTAACTAGGTTTTTGTTTGTTTGTGTGGTTTATTTTCATACCTCCTTAATATTTGGTCTTATTTTGCTTTTTATTTTTTTCAGTCTCTGACCACAAGAATTTAAGCTTGTGATATCAAGAAACTTTTCTAATTCTGATTATTTCCTATCTTCAGGTAGAAGAGAGCCTGAGGAGAGAGTGTGTGTGTGGGGGGGTGCACGCATGCATGTGCGTGCAAGCATTTTACTTAAGCACTGAATAAAATCCGTTTTTTGTTAATTTGTCTTTTCATACTGATGTCAGGATTAGATATGCAACATCCACCAACCAGTCTGAATTTCCTCACTCATTAATTGAAACTACATGTTGAAAAACTGAATTTTCTGCTACCTTAGTATGCTTCTCTTTCACCTTTCTTCTACTTAATGCATAGAATGTATTGGATTTGACAAGTGTTTATCTACTGGTGCTTGACATTATGAAGAACCTATGTGTTAGCAAGAATGACAAAATTTAAATATCCAGAAATATTTTATTATTTATGGTTGAGTGCCATCTATTTCACTATTTCATAATATTTGTCATTTGTCCAACCCTGGCTATAATCATTTCAAAAAATAGATAATAATAATACTAATAATATTTGTGACTTATCCCAGAGATTCTGTTAAAATTGGCCAGGCTTTAGAGTTAAACCTGTAGTGGTACTTATTAAAGCTTATTCGTGTTATTGTAGCCTGAATATGAAAACAACAGGCCTATTCAAAAAAAAGATGAGAACACTATAGATAAGTCTAATCAGGGAAAGAAGGCAATTCTGATTATTTTCATATTTTTACATTAAGAACATTAGAGGGAGGGAGCATGATATTGCAAAATATTTCAAGAATATATAGAATTTTTGAACCTTCATAAGCATTCTTCAAAAAAAAAATACTCATTTGAACTAGAAATTGCCTATATCTTTCTCTTATTGATACTATCAGGAATCACATAACAAATAAACTCCCAGTTTTCTCTAAGTCAAACTAATCTTTATCTTCTTTATAATTGTCATGTACCATGTCTAAAAGGTTAAGAGATAGTGTTTCTGGTGATACAACAAACTTAATTGTGCCTTCATTTAGTCCTAGCCCTCACATATCAGTAGTCTATCTATTTTGAGTATTTTAAAAAATAAAGGTATATCTGTTTTTGCTTCTTAGTTATTTATAATTTACATGTCCACATCCACATATGTTTAAGAAATACTTACCTGAGTTGGAAAGCTAAAAATATGTTTTATATTGTTTTAAAAAAGAAATTTTTTTCAGTGTTTCATAGAAGGTAAAAAGAAGTCATTAATGAAAAGAACTCTCTAAGCAACGGCACACAGTACATAATGCATATAATATGCAATACAATTTACCCAATACATATAGGAATACTAAAGTGGTAGAAATTGTTTATTAGTACCTATGCAAACTTCAAAATCCATCAAGATATTAGATGTCATTATTATGGGTTCCTATTGTAACATAATGAAACACCTTTTATACAAAGATATAAAGGGAAAAAAACATGGAACAAGAAAAAATATACTAAAGCTACTCTGAGTGAAGTAGAAATGACAGAAAACTGGAATATAAAATCGAAAGAAATGAATATATTTTTTCCTCCTCGACCACAAAAGAGATGAAACTTTTATCAACACAGAGAAACAATTTCTTCATTCATTCTTTTAATAAGTGCTTCATGAATATCTGCTATATATGATAAAGATGTATAGCACCATTCTTGGTTACCAGTAGCTAATACACTAGAAAGTTAAGACATAAAAATCAATTATTAAAATATAAAGTAGTACAAGCCATAAAATTGGTTCTACAGAATTGCTATAAGAGTTTGGAGGTGGGAGAGAAAGTAATCTTTGAAGTGTTTTTTATAGTAAAGAAAACAAGAATATAAAAAGAACAGTATTCTAGATAAATTCCAACTATTGTCATACAGAGCTATAATTCCTATTCAAAGAAATATCAGCTCCTTGGTTGGACTGAGTTAAGATCAATGCCTGTGAGCAAAGGAAAATAAATATTTATTGAATGAATGGAATCAATGAATTAATTTAAAAAGTTAAATTGGGGCAACCTACAGAACCATTTAAAGACAGACCTAAGAATTTAAACTTTATTCTAGAGTGGCATTTTAAGTGTTCTGAATAAGAAAGTATTTAATCATACAAATAATTTATGAAAATTGGCTGACAGTACACACAAGATAACTTAAATGGGGTGTTTTATGTAAGGAAGATATATGAGGAGTGAAAGAGAGAGAGTCTATGTATGACAAAGCATACTTGGAGGATGTGAAAGGTAGAGAGGGGCACAGGAATATTGTGTTTCTTGTTTTCATAAAATGAAAAGCAGATTCTACAGTGGTAAAATAGCTATGGCATTATTATGGAGAATTCAATAGAAAAGAAATAAAAACTACAGCTCATAATTTTCTTTTTTAATTTAAATAAGGCTGTTTGCCTCAGTTGCTTCCTCAATTATTATACTCACTTAACAACTACCTAGTGAGAAGAAAAATAATACAAACAACTCATTGGTAGAAAAATATCAAGTATCAAAAACATTAAGAAAATATATTGACAAGGAAAATATAAAGAAATAATGCTTAAGAAATATTTATCAAGATATTCCTTAGAAGTTAATCTTGAATTCTTTGCTATTATCAAAATATTGATTACTATGGAGGGAAATCAAACTAACAAAATACATTAGCCTGAATTTATATTTTTAGAAACATCTTATGATCTTCAGAACTTAACAAGTAATGATGTTTCTTGACACCAATCCCATTTTCTTATCCAATTGGCTGACAAAAGACCATATCATCTAATTGCTGGATTCACTGTGTACCACATGTATTTTGGCTATAATCAGAGCTGAAAACTATGAAACTTAGACCTTATCTGCAAAGAATGTGATTTTCTGGGTTTGCTAGGAGCCAAACAAGTATTAACTCTCTGTCAACATCCTTGTCCTGAAACAAAACAAAACAATAGCAACAACAAAATTATCTAAGATCCCTACTGCAAAACAATGAAGAGGAAAGGCAGCATGTAATTCAAGTCTTACATGTTGAGTCTGTGAAAATGTCAAATTCCTGCTAAGTTCTCTTTATGGGAAGCACTATGGGAGCCAGGGACTCTGAAGGAGCTCAGTACCTTAAAGAGAATGACAGTTGTCCTCGTTCCTTTTGACTGGCATCCGAACACTGATCTGGACATAGTTGAGTGTAGGTAAAAATGTCTCTAATGTCTTACTCAAGGAGGAGATTATTGGAGCAATTGTTCACCAGCAAAAAAAAAAAAAAAAAAAAAAAAAAGGATTTGAGTTCCCTAAAAATCTCTGGTATAGCCATTTTCCTATGAATGGACATACAAGTTGTTTACATTTTTCTTCCTGTATTTAAAATCATTCAACAAATCTTTACATGATTTTATTTCTATATGATAGATTCCCATTTGTGGCATTCCTTAAAATTCCTTTCAATCAAATCTGTAGCAAAGCATCAACAATAATGTACGAAAGCTAGCCTATACCTACCATCATTGGCAGTGATCTTATTAGGACAAAATTGTCCTAAAAATTTTATATTTTTCCTATATGATCAATATAAATATATATCACTCTTCTATTTATCACTCTTCTATTAATCACTCTTCTATGAAGTTATTTTTTTTATATATAAATGATCTGGATTTTTCTTCTTAGTAATTTATATGCTCATGTATTTTTTACTCAATTGGCTATTCATCTTTACCTGGTCAACTTAAATAAATTTAAATATTAGGAAGATAAACTCTTCATCAGATATATTTTTGTCTTCAATAAAGATTTATTTAATAACTTTTTGAACCAGTATGAGAAAAAAATCATCTTGAAGACTGGATTAGGGCCATGATTTTTCAAATAGGTGATTCTTCCCCAGTGTCTGTGACATTTGGCAATGTCTGGAAACATGGTGGTCTCAACTGGGAAATGGTGTGTGTCACAGGGATCTAGTTGATAGAGGCCAGGGATGCTGCTAAAAAAAATGTAAGACAGCCACCCCTACCTCCCAATGAAGAATTGTCTGGCTCAAGTGCCAAGGTTGAGAAATCCCGGGTTAAGAAAATATACAAAATTTACACAAGGGAATGATTATAGTGAATAACAGAGGAATCTTGGCTGCATAAAAAGGAAAGTGAAGATGTAAGAAGGAATACACACCATGAAAATACTATAACAGAAAGCTAGTTCACATTTTTCAAATTGGTCTCAGATATTTTGTTTCAATAATGTTTTTCTGTATGCCTATATTAATATTTTATTGATTTAATCAGAATGGTTTTATAAGGCACTCATCTTGGAAGGTAAATTCTCATCATTGCTTATATATTTTTTTATTCTAGGGAACTTGTTCTAGCATGTAAACTTTAACATCCCTTTCTTTAAATTTAAACATAACCTAAACAATACAAAATCACATGAGTATTAGCATTTATGCCTGCAATATATCAGAATGTATATGTTTCCCACCTGAATTCTTAGAGACAATATTCTTAGGTTCTTATATAATTACATTTAAACTCTGCATTATAAATGTCAATAAATTTTAAAAATTTCATCATGTGGTTACTAGACATAATTGTCAAATTTATTACCAAACATGTGTACACTCTTTGCTGTTATTATAGAATGATTTATTTATATATTATCTTAGGTACTCACTGATAAAGTAAACACAGACTATAGAAATTTTTATAAATTGGGATGAGTTACAAATTATCTAATTAATACTAGTTTTTTTAGAGTCTTGGTTTTCCCAAGTATATACTTATATCATAATCCACAAAAAAATTCTCTTATTTTATTTTCTTCTGGCAATGCTAGGCCCTTCAAAACAATGTCAAATAATAATGCTGAGAGTTCTAGCACTCTCAAGTTCTGATAGTTAATAAGAAGATGCATTTTTATGTTTCCTGAAGAAAGAAAATGTTAGCTGTTGTTATTTGGAATTGATAGTATTAAGTACATGTCGTTTTATTTTATTTTCATTTTATTTAGAATTTTGATAAAGGATAGTTATGGATTTCAGTAAATGACATTCATATAATAGCCTGAGCACATTTTTATCCATTTAATTTTTTGGCAATTTGTTTCTTAGTATAGGTTCATTTTTTAGTTTCTGGGAAAATGTTTTTGTAGCAATGTATTTTTCTCTTGATTTATTGCTAGCTTCTCTTAGGTAATGTTCAAAATAATTTTTGCATACATATCTACATTGATTAATCTATAATATTTTGTGTATTATATATCATATTTTTGACATTAAAGTTATGCTAACTTCATACATTGATTTGCAAAGAATGCCATTTATTTTCGATGGCATAGAAGAATTTATGTAATATTAGACTTATTAGCTCTTTAAAATTTAGGTCTATCAGACCTTAATGGCATTTTCAATGGGAGATCTTTACCCTTGTAATTTGTTCTGTGAATATTTTTCTATCAAAGTTTCCACTTCTTGAATCATGTTTAGCAATTTTTTTTTTGTTTTGAGTAATCCATTTCCTCTAGCTTTAGGAAATTACTGATTCATCATGTATCTTTTTAAAACCTCATAATAATTATATACTGCTGAATGATAATTACAGAAATGTCCATTACTATTTAATTCCTTGTGTTAAATGAACCACTATAGGATAAGCCATAAAACAAGAGATGGCCATAATTTGGAAATCCTTGATATGCTACAAAGCCCTAATTTGTGTTTTGTTGTCAATTTGTTTTCCTACTGTAGCATGTTAAAGTCATGACTAAATGTTCAAAGAAAGGATCTCCTTCTTCAAATCACACTGGCTTATAGTTAAGAGGATTCAGTTTCCTTTTACTGAAAATAATTTGATATTTTACTTGCCTTCCATGATCGCACAAATAGATACTTTCAAATATATAACCTTAGGATCTTTCAAGAGAAAATAAAAAATGGAACGTGCTGTTATTACTAAGTGCTATTATCATTGTCATCAATACAATCACCCTTCAAATATGAATAACTTCACATAAAAGTTTTTTTGAATCACAATAGGTACTATTATTGCTTTGTAGTGATCTGTCTGTTATGGAATATAGCTGATAATTATCACTCTGAAGTAAAATGTCGTTCTTTGTGCATTATCTTGTTTGAAATGCTTTGGTATGACAGAACACAGTAAAATTATATTACAGTGCTGATATTAAAATCATGACATTTCTGATATGTATGAAAAATACAATGTTTTACTTTGTCACTCCCAAAAGTATTGTCTTTAGTTGGTGATTTTCTGTTGAAATTTACCAGTAAATCTTTTAATGTAAGAAATAACTGCCAGAGAATAATGGTACAAAACCAGTTAATATATCTTATAATGTCTATGACTTTTTATTCATTTTCAGTTATATTACTATATTAATTTAAATATTGGAACACATTTAGAAGTGTTAATTGTCTTCTTTGGCTAATGAAGCTGTCAAAAATTTAATTTAGCTCAATAAAACAATGACTATACAAGTTTTTGCAAGACATATTCTATTCTATATGGTGTTTGGTTTACACATATGTAAGATGACACAATCATGTTTCTTTTGATTATCCAATCATATTATCTATGACTTAGCTGATCCGACAAGTCAGAATGTACAAATTAAATAATATAATTCCAATAGATTATAATGAAATGAAACAAGTATTACTACTTCAGGTAGGCCAAGCAAAGTTTGAAAGACAATGCTAACCAAAAGAACCATGTTCTGACACATCAAACAGAAAGAAAATCTTTATGTTCGTATGGAAATTAAGAGAATATAAAAATAAAAACTGTATGTCCATAATCCAATAGAAAGGAGTGAAAAGTGTTAAATTACTCATCCAAAAGTGAAAAAATAATAATCAAAAATAAAAAATAAGTTATTGAATATTTATTATGTGTTTGGTATTCTAAGTGTTCTATATAGATTATCTCAAATAACCCCTAAAATAATATAGGGTAGGTGATATTATCATACTCATATAAAATTGAGCAACCTGATACTTAAAATAGTGAGAGAAAAATAAATGTGACCAGAATCAATCTATCTACAAATTATAAAATCATTTTTTAACTCAACCCTGCTTGACACAGTCATAATATCAGTCCCTAGCAATACTAGGATTTACATTCATGTTTATTATTTGTCCTCAAATAAAAACAGCAAGGTATGTGCTGTTATCCCCATTATACAGATATGTAAAGACAGTTTTGGACAGAATAATTGTTCAGGTTCGTGCTAATAATTAATAGAGACATACTGTAACCCAGGTCTTTATGACATCACAGCTTCTTGTTATGCTTCAGCAGAAATTCTTTTCAATAGGGAAGGATTTGAGTTTCAGGACTTAAAAATGAGCATAAAAAAGAAGAATATGAAAGTGAAGTATTTCTTTGAATTTAAAGATCCTTATCTACAAAATTAAAACAAATATCATCTACTTCAGTCCAATGTTGCAATGCTTAAATGAGAAAAATGTATATAAAATATTTAAATCCTTAGGGGCATGGAATAAATGCTAAATAAATATTGGTTTTTATTATTATCATAAGTATCCATGAGATTAAAGAACCAGCTATACTGTAGGAAACACACACACGCACACACACACACACACATCCATGGAGCTGATCATGGATTGCTTGTATACTTAGAACAACAAATGAGATCATGAAAATATGAAAAATGTCTACCAGAGAGTCTGGAACACTGCAGGTACATAAAAATATAATGCTTTATGAGAATTAAGCCATGGAATTTTCCAAGGGCATAACATTCTTGCATTGAGGTATTATATTATTGGCCTACTTCCTTATCAGGATTCTAAAGCTGAGCCTTTCTGCTGGCACTATCTGTTTTTCACTACAGATGCCCAGGACATGTTCCTTAATTCAGATGTATAGATAGGCAGATGTGGAAAATACATGTGTGTACATGTGTGTATACATATATACACACACACACACACACACACGTGTATATACTTACATCTCCCTAACACTCTAGCAATCAATTCTTTCACTATTAAAAAAATTGGTAATTAGTCTTTTTATTCAAGGAAAGGCTTAAAAGGCTTTATTAAATAATATAAGTAAAAGAAACAAGAAAAGAAGGAGTTGTCAAAATAAAGAAGATCCCTAAAGGAAAATAAATGCAGATGTGAAAACT